AAAAAAAAAAAAAAGTAATGATGTCATGTATGGTGATTAACATAACAATAAAAAATTTAAAGAAAAAAATAGATATTAAATTCTCACTGCTTATAGTGTGAGCCCTATATAAATAGCTCAACATTTAGCAAAAATAGGAGCAGGACTCAAGCAATGTTTCCATAGCTATCAAATTGCCTACTTGATAAAACTGAAACAGTATTAAAAAATTGGAATGTTTCAAACTTTATTGGTATTAAAAGCTACTTGATTTTTATGTCATGCTTTGCTATTTTTCCTATACTTGAATTTTTAAGCACCCTAAGGTAGTGATCTACCTCAAACATTAACTATCCACTTCCTAATATTCATTTCTATATTTAGTATCTGGTTTCCAGTTATAATATTCTAAATAAACTCATGCAAGACTGAGAGGAACTTTAGGAAACGAGACTTTTCACCTCTAACTTTGGAAGGTTTCCCAGATAAGGTCTTGACTGCTACAATTATAGAGGGCGGTAACAAACGTACATCTACCCTTTAACCCATCCTCCACAGGAAGGGAAGGGAAGAAGATTGGAGGGGTGCGAGAAAAGCTAAGCACAGAAACAAGCCAGTAGTCCTTCTCGGTGACCCAAAACCAAAGGGTGGGATCACAACCTGTGCCTCCCTAAGCCCCACTAGCTGTTCTGCCTTCCTTTCTGTTCTGAACATTCTCACTTAAAATAATGACCCCAGGGCGCCTGGGTGGCTCAGTCGTTAAGCGTCTGCCTTCGGCTCGGGTCATGATCCCGGGGTCCTGCGATGGAGTCCCGCATCGGGCTCCCTGCTTGGCGGGAAGCCTGCTTCTCCCTCTGACCCTCTCCCCTGCTTGTGTTCCTGCTCTCACTGTCTCCTTCTCTGTCAAATAAATAAATAAAATCTTTTAAAAAAAAAAAATAATAAAATAAAATAAAATAAAATGACCCCAATATAAAAACGGGTTGGGAGTTGAGACTAAACAACTAGACCACTGGGTGGTATTTTAGTATTCCCTCTAGCTTGAAAATCTTTCACACTGAGAACAAGTTATTAGTCCATAATGTTTCAAAGTGATGTCTGAAAGATTTTATAGTGTGGGTTTTGATAAAGCCTTTTTAAACTGATACGTTGACAGCCACACTTCACAAATTTCACTTATGTCCCAAGGGTCCACCCAAATTCCCTTGAGGGAATTATCATCAGTCATACTTACGCAGATCTGCCTTCCACATCAAGTTTGCCTGGATTGATGCCCTTTTTAGCAAGGATTGAGGAAACTTTTTCTACATCTCCCCTCTCTGCGGCTTTCATCAATCGGTCATCGTATTTGTTCCAATCTGCTGCATGCTGCAAAAAGGAAAAAAATAAATAAACATGGCCTACTCTCTATACTATATTAGTAAGACTTTCTCAAGAAGGAAGGAAAAGAGAAAGGAGAGCAATACTGCATAATATATCACTCAATCTCCACTGCATCCCACATTTCCTTCTCCCTGCTGTGCTAACTTCATGAGAAGAGCCTCTTCAAAACACATGACATTCAAGAATTATTTTAAGTTCTACTTTTGAGAAAAGCATGTTTCTCATGTTCTCTGCTGTTTTCTTTGCCTTCAGAGCAAAGAAAGGAAATTAATAATTGTTGAACACCGGCCCTGTGCCAGGCATGATTTATTCAAACGACCCCAGTAAACTAAAATTGTCATCCCCATTTAACAGATGAGAAAAGTCAAGGCTCCGGGGATGTTAAAAGACCTGAGTGGCCAACCCAACCAAGACTTCCCATGATTTCCAAAATCAGTGTGCTTCTCCTAGTCTCTAACTCCTGCTTTCAGATTTGGCTCTGGTCACCTATCACCCAAGACCCTAGATGCAGTGGAATTCTGTACACATTTTAAGACATCCACACACTCACAAAGCTTGTTTAAAAGGTACTGTTGGAAATATATTTATGGAGGCAAATTAGTCACATACACACATTCACATACACTCCGTCTCTGTCTCAAAGAGAAAGCAATTCATCAAGCTTCTCTATTAGGATAAAAAGAAACTTCTACAAAGAAAAAAACTGAAAAAACAAAAAAGACTTTAAAGTATTAACTATTTTAAAATCCTAAGACAATAGGATTGCAGGTGACTTTCATTTTCTTCTTTTTTACATTCAACATATATTGTTTTTAAAAACGATTTTTGATTTTAACAAAAACTCAGTACATGCATTTAAGAGGAAGATCAAAGGCAATTTTTTAAATAGGAGGATGTATCACATGATATATATTTTAATTGTATCAAGGTTATTTTTAACTGTCGAGAAAATATATGCAAAACATTCTGAGGCCAATAACTTCGATTTTTTCTTAGTAGGCGGAAATGTAGAACCCAGAACTAAAATACACACTATTTAACCAAGTGAGGTTTTAGCCTTTTAAAATATTATACAATAAACTTATTGCTAAATTCTGTACTAAGCCCAGGACTATTTCTAGAACAAAGAAAGCTGTACCTATTTTACAAAGCAATTCTGTGTCCACAAATAGCATAACAAATCTGAGGGAAAAAAAATGAATCTCTTATATGAAGCATATCCTCTAACTGTTTGATCAGTGAAATTACTTTATATTACCTATCCCCTTCAAACAGCAACACAAAACACCAATTTTCTAGCTAAGTAAGCAGTGTCTTCATTAAATACTTGAAGTGAAAATAAGTATGAAAATTGAATATGAAAAATAAATAAATACATTAAAATTTTAACCTACTCCTGAAAAGCAATGTTTCAATGGAATCTGGATCAAGTACCTACACAGGCTTCAGCATTGTTGTTTCCAAATTAGTTAAATTTGGAGATGAGCCCATTTCCTCCTAACTTCAAAAGCTCGAATTGTCAACTCTGAGACTAGCCCTATTTACTGGCTCAAAGTCTCAACTACATTTTAGGCATCCCCCTTATTTAGCTTTAAAACAAAACAGTTTACAGACTCTAAATTGGGGAATGGTAGTAGATGAAGGCTTAAGAGACTTGTGTTTTCAAATGCCTTAGGGATTAAGTCATGTTTAACACACAGATACTTGCTGGAAATTGATTAGTTTATCCTTGCAGTTAAAACAATCTCAACTTTATTTCCAAGTAAACTGCTGGCTGGAGAGAGGAGCTATTTAAAACACGAAAAAAAACCCTATGAAATCCTAAAGTAAGGCTTTTTAGAAGATAATTAAACATGATCCAAGTCTCATATTATCATGGGATTTTTCAGTTCTGCGTCACCAAGCACTGTTTTCCATCACGGTCCACTGTCAGTTAACAGAAATACTGCTCAATTACTAAGATTCTATTATGTGCTTTTTAAACCCAGAAAAAGAAACGAGAACTGTTGTTTGCTATCACTAACCCCAATCTGCTCATCAAATACATCAGAAAGAATAACAGAGACCACAGTTAGTTAAACGGTAGTACATTTTACAAGAATACAGTTCAGAAAGCCTAACCGAGAATCTTCCGTGACACTGGACAGCAGAGATACCTACTCTGTTCTTGGGAGCACAAGAAAACCAACAGTTCATTATAGACAGGATTTAGTTTCTGGTTGCTAGCAGCAAGCTACTTTGCATTAAGTTACAAATCTCTGTGGCTCACAAAGCACGCCCTCAGACAAACTCCTAAGCAGTGAATCCGTCCCTCTCGTTACAAATCTTCCTGTTCCACAATCTTCATGCTGGGCTACACTTAGCTTGGATCTCTAACGATATTTTCTTCGTCCTCGGGATCCTTCTCCGCCTTCATAACGCTCGCAAATTATCTTCCTTGCGGAGCAGCACTTGTGGAAGAGCAGCCCCCCAGTCAGGTACTGTTAACTCCTCCTATATCTTATTGTTTAGAAGCTGTCTTTCCATGAGGCTGTCCCTTTCGGGGACTCCACTGGGAAATCTAAACAGCCCTCTACATCCTGCTGCCTCGACACCGCAACACGGACGCTGCAGTGCATGATAAAACTGTCCGCCTCCGAATCCGCCCGTGAACAGTGGGTAGACGGCCTCCCATTGGTCGAGTTCTAGTTGATTCCATAGGCCTTGACAGCTGAGTGACAGAAACGGGCAGCTAAGAATATACTGTAAATGCATGCTTCTCCTCTGAGTAATAAATTTCAGGTTTACTGGGGACAAATGACTCAAACACATTGTAAAATGTGCTTATTATACATTGAGTGACATTATGACAACACGGTTAAGAGGTGAATTTGGATATTCCACAAGACAATGTTTAAAACCAGTTTCCGTCTTAGTATGTATCATGAAGATATAATTGCCTTGATAAACAGAATATAAAATTCTATTTTAAGCAAATGTGTCACACTTTAATTTCTCACACACACACACACACACACACACACACACACACACATGCACAGAGTAACGTTTTCAAATTTTCTCCATTTCCCTTCATACCCCTATGAGGCTCACTGCATACAAGCAGGTTTCAGTTTACAGCTGCTGCCAGTCTGTCTCCTAATATGTGAAATGAGAAGAGCCAGAGGCACTGCCAAGACACTAAATAGACTGCATTATGATGACTACTTTCAACAAATTTTAAATTTAACTCAGTACTCTTAATTTCTGAGTGTAGCACCCTGCCTGATATGACAAGTAAATATTTTATCAGTCAAAAATCAAATTATCTGGATTCAGGAATTACAAAACAATAAACATTAAAAACTAAAGGAGGCAAATGCATATTGAACACTGGGCCAGACTGTAGATACAGCTCCGCTTGGGGACAAAGCAGACTACATCTCTACATTCTTTATGACGTTTAACAATACTTGTACCAACGTTCCTTACATTATCAAGGAAAACAACAAACATCTAAAAGTTCCAGGCTATTTTTTTACCTTCTATTACCACAATAGCACGACAGTAATTTATACTTCCTCCAAAAAGACAAATTTGGGAAAACTGTTTCATGGCGATGCAAAACATTCCAACACAAGTGTTTATAGGCAGGAGATAACTGCTATACTATAGATCATGCTGCCAGTTAAAAACTGTTACAAACTTAATCAAGCAATCTGCTTCCTACTAACTTTAAAATATTAGGCACATATTCTAATTTATAAAATATGTAAGTTCATAATGTATTATTTTTGAGACAATTATTTTTTTCCCCAAATCACATTAGCCATCACAATGGATTCTTGGCTAGACCCTGAGACTCCACCCACTCTATTTCACCCTTCTTCAGAGGGAATCTGGGATGAAACTCAGGACCTGTCCTTTGGTTAACAAAGCAAGCACATTCTTTCTAGAAATAGGACTGCAAAGGCAAAGGAAATAAAAAGGAGGAAATCTATAACAAGTAAAAAAACCATGTAAGGAACTGTCCATGCTAAGGCTCAGGAAGACAGGATTTATATGCCCTCCTCTACTGTGGACATCCTGAGCCTCTCCATCCTCTGTCACAATCTCCTGTTCCTACTCTCACACCCTCCTTCCCAGATATTTCTCAAAAGCCCTAAGTCCCACCTTTGCTGTCCCCCATGCCTGTAGATTCTTCTCTCACTTTCTCAAAAGGTACTTCCTTTTGGTACTCCTCACACCTCATATCTAAACAACCCCAGCCTCACTCTACTCCTATCACTTTTTTTTTAAAGTCAGCTCTACATCCAATTTGGGCTTGAACTCATGATCCCAAGATCAAGAACCACATGCTCTACTGACTGAGCCAGCTAGGCGCCCCTATTCCTACCACTCTTAAAATTCCTACCCTGTTGTACTCTTCTTCATAATCCCCATCAGTATCTGCCATCATATCATATGTTTATTTATTAGCTTACTGCTTATGTCTGCTTTTTGCTTCAAAAAGAATCAAAATAATCAGGGGGCTGACTGAATTCAACAGCACATTATAAGGATTACACACCATGACCAAGTGGGGTTTATTCCTGGAATGCAAGGATGGTTCAACAGATGAAAAGTGATCAATGTAATACACCACATTAACAGAATTAAGGACAAAAATCACATGAGCATCTCAATTGATGTATATAAAGCATTAGACAAGATTCAAACATCTTTCACGATAAAAACATTCAACAAACTGGAAATAGAAGGAAACTACCTGAACATAATAAGGGCCATATGTGAAAAGCATATAGCTGACAACATACTCAGTGGTGAAAGAGGAAAGCTTTTCCTCTAAGATCAGGAATAAGACAAAGATGCCCATTCTCGCCACTTTTATTCAACACAGTATTGGAAGTCCCAACCAGAGCAATTAAGAAAAAAAAAAAAGGAAATTTTATTAAAAACTAGAAAGGAAGAAGTAAAATTATCTCTGTTTGTAGATGACATGATCT